AACTTCCAATTGCAATTTTCATCAATGCAATTAAGAACATATCTCTTGTTTTCCGACTTATTAGTCTGAAACTCAAAACTGTTTTTCAGCGCATACATCCGCAGCTGAGTAGTCATTTCTTTTTTGCTTTTGAATAACTTTCCGCAAAACAAAGAACCAACATCAAGTAGAGCAGGAGGATTGGGCATTGTCGGAACCTGAAAGTACAAATTCAATATCCTAATACATCTATGCATTAAAATTACAAAAGCTTTTAAAAGCCTTTTATACGATTTTTAATTGATTTTTAAAATGGTTTTAAAAGCTGTTTATAAGGATTTTAAAAGATTGTTATAAGGACTTTACAAGAACCAAGTTGTTTTCAAACTAACTTATAAACATTATAAGGTTACCTTATCTAAAGTAGTAGATTACATGAGTACGATTTAGACAAGAAACATCAGTAGCCCAAAAAGAAGTTGTTTGGTTACGTATCACCGGCTGCTGATTAATAATAGTAGACGTTCTTGGTTCCTAAGCAGAAGTAAAAAGACCAGCAGTAGCAGCAAAAGGATTAGGCATTGTCGGAACCTGAAACTACAAATTCAGTATCCTAATAAATCTAGGCATTAAAATTACAAAAGCTTTTAAAAGCCTTTTATACGATTTTTAATAGAATTTTTTTAAAAGGGTTTTATAAGGACTTTATAAGAACCATGTTGTTTTCAAACAACTTGTCTTGTTTATAATGTTTTAAAAGGGTTTTAAATGATTTTTATAAGATTTTCAAAAGTTTTAAACAGTTATTTTAAAAGAGGTTTACCTGAGAATGAGAAGCAGAAGATACATCGCTTGCAACAAACTGATATGAGCTAGTTTGATCCTGAAAAATAAAGACGTAATAAGTTAATAATGATTTGAAAAAATATTTTTTTTAAAGGGTTTTTATAAAGTAGTAGATTACGTGAGTACGATTTGGACAAGAAACATCAGTAGCCCCAAAAGAAGTTGTTTGGTTACATATAACTGGCTGCTGATTAATGATAGTAGACGTTCTAGGTACCTCAGTGGAAGTAAAAAGACCAGAAGTAGCAGCAGGAGGATTAAGCATTGTCGGAACCTGAAAGTACAAATTCAGTATCCTAATAGTAGATGAGTTTTCAAACAACTTGTCTTGTTTATAATGTTTTAAAAGGGTTTTAAATGATTTTATAAGGTTTTCAAAAATTTTAAACAGTAATTTTAAAAGAGGTTTACCTGAGAATGAGAAGCAGAAGTTACATCGCTTGCAACAAACTGATATGAGCTAGTTTGATCCTGAAAAGTAAACAGTCACTACGATTATAATGACTTGTAACAGATAGAAAGAGTTCACTACAGTCACTAAAGATTGTAATGATTTATAAGCAAAATTAAGAAAGATATCAATAAAATATACCTGCTCAACTATGACACAATTATCCTCTACAGTAACACATAAATGAATACTTTGTGTTTGTGCAGAAATTCTCATAAAAGTTGCCAGTTGCCTATCATTTCTAATAAAAATTGGATGACTACCTAGTGTTGCAGTCATAGAAGGCAACTGGAAACTAAGCTTTAGAGAGTGTTTCTGATTATCAATTGCAAAATCTTCATAAAGAATTTTGACCAAATCACTAAAACTAGTTCCCTCATCAATGCTAATCAGAGAAACTCCGCTCTCATCATCAATTTCAAATTCCCATTTAATATTATGCTTCAACTTCCATAATCCACAAACTGAATACAGTTCAAGCATCTCTAAATAAGTCCTGCGAAAACAAAGAAATATCACAATGAAAACGTGGTCAGTAAATGAATTATAAGGATTTTAAATGGATTTTAAAAGGTATAGGAATAGAAACAACAATGAAAAAAATCTTTCAAAATTCAACAACAGATAACAAGTACATGGAAGAAGAACAAATTGGTTGAAAAAGTGATGAAATCGACCTAATCAAGAAGTGATGAGGTCGATCTAATCAAAAAGTGATGAGATCTGGGAAACGAACCAGGAAATATGTAATTAAGAGACGAAGGCGATAGAGAGAAGAGACGAAGGCGATGCCGAGAAGAGACGACGGCGATGGAGAGAAGAGACGACGGCGACGCCGAGAAGAGACGACGCCGATGCCGAGAAGAGACGACGGCGAGAGTCAACGACGGTGAAGCTTCGAAACAAAACGGCGAAGAAAGGAGAAGAGAAATGAGAAACTGTGTTTAAGGATGTGGAGATGGATATTAAAGGAGTTATAGTGGTGTTTGTTGTCATCCATGTTCTTGGCTTTTTCATGATGTACTTATCTTCCTTTTTTTGCTTAGCTTGCTCTATGTATATGGATATGTATGTCGTTAAGATATTCATAAATGATATTCGATCATGGTGGTTCTACCCACAATTCACAGCAACATTCGTTTGGTAATGCTTTAGTAGCCAAAAAGATCATCTATCACATGCACATGTAATAACTTTGTTCTCTAAAGTAGGTGTTCTTTATAAACCTTTTAAAATCATCTAAATCTAATAAAGTGTTTAAATGTATGTTAAGGTTTTATAAACTATTTAAAAGGTTTAACAAGGTTTTTATAAAGATTTTATATGGCTTTTATAAGGTTTTTAAAAGGGTTTTTAAGAAATGTTTTACAAGGTTTTATAAGGTGTTTAAATGTGTATTAAGGTTTCCAAAACTATTAAAAAAGTTGTACAAGGCTTTTATAAGGTTTTACAAGGCTTTTATAAAGATTTAAAAGGTTTACAAAGCATTTAAAAGGTTTTACAAGGTTTTTAAGGTGTTTGAATGAATATTAAGGTTTTCAAAACTACTTAAAGACTTTAACAAGGCTTTTATTAGGTTTTACAAAGCTTTTATAAAGAGTTTATAAGGCTTTTATATGGTTTTTAAAAGGGGTTTTAAGAAATGTTTTACAAATTATTTACAAGATTTTACAAGGTTTTATAAGGCGTTTAAATGTATATTAAGGTTTTCGAAACTATTTAAAAGGTTTTACAAGGCACTTATAATGGTTTAAAAAAAAAATTATAAGGTTTTATATGGTTGTTATAAGGTTCTAAAAATTATTTAAAAACTTTTACAAAGTATTTAAAAGTTTCTACAAGCTTTTACAAGGATTTTATAAGGTTTTGTGAAGTATTTAAAAGATTTTACAAAAAAAACATTACGTGGCTTTAACAAGTACTTAAAACAACAATACCCATAAACTAGTATGATTTTTAAAAACAATATTTATAAGGTTCCTAAAATGCTTTAGAATCTTTTAAGGATATTACAAAGTAATTCTCTATTTAAAAAGATTTATGAAGGCTTTTATAAGGTTGTATAGGCTTTTATAAGGTTTTAAAAAGCTTTTAAAAAGTATTTAAAATGTATTACAAAGTATTTTAAAATGTTTTACAAGGTTTTTAAGGTGTTTAAATGTATATTAAGGTTTTCAAAACTATTTAAAAAGTTTTGTAAGGCTTTTATAAGGTTTTATAAGGCTTTTATAAGGATTTTATAAGGCTTTTAAAAAGTATTTAAAATGTTTTACAAAGTATTTAATAGGTTTTTCAAGATTTTTATAAGAGTTTGTTAAATTTTTAAAGGTTTCACAAGGCTTTTATAAGGTTTTTAAAAAGTATTTAGAAGAATTTTATAAGGATTGTTGTAGAATGCTTTTATAAGGTTTTACAAGGTTTTTTATAAAGATTTTATAAGGCTTTTTATAAGGTTTTAATTTTTTTTTTCAAAGTATCTAAAAAGTTTTACAAGGTTTTATAAGGTCTTACAAGGCTTTTATAATGATTTTATAAGGCTTTTAAAAAGTATTTAAATGATGTACAAAGTATTTAATAGGTTTTACAAGATTTTTATAAAGTTTTGTTAAATTTTTTAAAGGTTTTACAAGGCCTTTATAAGGTTTTTAAAAGTTTTTTTAAAGTATTTACAAGAATTTTATAAAGTTTGTTGTAGAATGCTTTTATAAGGTTTTACAAGGTTTTTTATAAGGATTTTATAAGGCTTTTTATAAGGTTTTAATTATTTTTTACAAAGTATCTAAAAAGTTTAACAAATATGGATGCTGAGTATTATAATCTAAGCTCCAGTACTTCTTCAAGCTCTCCCATGACTGCAGCTCTTGGATCCTCAACTTCGTCAATTCCACCCTATCAATATCAACACAAAACAAAAAATTCAATTCAGTTTAATTCCAAGTCTCTTAAGACGTGTGGAGAGTCACGAAGACGTGGAAGTTGGGAGTGAAGATGAGAACACATGTAACTACAGCTCTGAAGTGTATTGAAAGTGGAAGCCAGTGAACATGTTAGGATAAGAGAACAGAGCTATTATAACTGATTATGAATAACTATTTAACAACTATATGCATTGAGGAATCAAAATCAGTTAATCTTATATGCAAACCTACATGATAAAACCTGAAAACTGGTAGTCATATGGAATAACGAGATCACAACTACGATGAACACTAACATAATCAAAGCTTCGGCGAGATCGCAGCTAGTAACATCAATGAACAAAGACAAGAAGAACAACAACGACCTATCACATCAGTACATCGTTAACAAAGAGACGTTATTGACGACTCTGTTGCATCCTGCTCCTATGAAAATTCTCTTTGCTTCGACTTTGGTGTTTTCTGACATCTTTTATAAAAGGAGACTTTTTGATTGAAGCTAAGAAGGGTTACAAAGTTTCTCTTCTTCGTTCCTGCTAAGAAGGGTTACAATTTGCATAAAACAATAAGCTTTTCTTTTTGGCAATTTACCAAACACCTTATGTGCGCTCGTTAAATCCTTCTATTTTCCTAGATATCAACAGAAACTTGTACCTCAAAGGCTCAAATGCGTTCATATCAAACTCAAGACAAACATCACAAAGCAAAGATGAAGAAACGATCAAAGCTCACCGAGGAAGTAATTTACAAACCCCAAGCTTAGGTCTGATAAGCTGAGGGGAGAAGTGGACAAATATGACGACAACTTTGTTTGTTGGCAACAAAAGGAAGGCTCCCGTGAACCAGAGACGACGAACGTCGGCTGAATTCACAACGACGAGCATGAGCGAATTCACAACGAGATCTCACAGGGAATTTCGACAACGGCGAAGCTCGACGACGGCAAAGAAGATGTCGTTGCTTTAGAGACTTAGAGAGAGGAAAGAGGTAATATAAGTGAGGGTAAATTTGTCTTAAAAAAATAACGAAGGGTATAATTAAAAATAGCAGAAAAGGGGGTATATTTAAAAATGTGTATCTCAAAAGGGGTATTCCTAACAAATTCTCATAAATCTCCATAAAATTATATTTATGTAAGATTTGGTATTACCAAGTATTTGATTGCAAAACTTAAGTGACGTGTATCATGTTCTGACCTGTTGAAAAATTATCAATGATTTAATATATGTTTTGATTTGTTGCAAAATTATTAACTATTTTATATATGTATAATATTTGAACCATCTCAAAGTTTTAATATTTTTAATATATGAACCTTTTAAAATTTTAAATATTTATACTATTTTAAAATTTTAAAAAGATTAAAAATTATAATATTTTGAAACTTTAATAAATATTTAAAAAATAAAATTATTTACATATTGTAATATTTTGAAGCTTTTTAAAAGTTTTAATTTGTTCAAACATAAAACCGGATTATATCAAATAAAACTTTTAAATTCAGATGTCTGATAAATAAAGCTTATTGCTCATTCGTAGTTTGAAGCATGTTGGTCTTATATATAATGATATGAAATATTGTCAAAAAATATTTTTGCCGATGTGGGACGCCGTACTTACACTTTTTCTTGTTAATTGAGTAATATATGTCCGTTTTGAAAATTCAAACTACAACATATGTAAAAATATTGTTGAATTTTAATCATATATTTATATTATATATTATAGTATAATAAATTAAAAATAAGATCACCTAAGGATAAAGAGAATAATAAGTTTTTTTTAATATATTATATATATAAGAAATCGTTGTAGAGGTGGTAGCTTTATATTCCTCTTAATTGGTTGAAAATAAACGCACGACATACGCATGCATCATGCATTTCTCCACTTGACTAACGTGAGTAAATATATTAGGTACTCCAAGGAAATGATAAACAAGGACTTCACTTTCATCAAATCTTGTTAACTTGATCAAAATAAAAGAATAGACTACATGGATACATGCAATTCCTATATGTGCATATATTTAATTACCTTGATTTTTTTTTTTTGAATATGATCTGCAAAGTAATGCTCGAAGAAATAAGCAATCTCATCATTGATATTTGACTCAACAGTCGATCTTACCGCATATTTTTATTCTTTGCTTTTGCTTTCAAATTTTTAAAAAACCTTTTAAAAGGATAAATCCACCTAGATTGAGTGGGGCCTCCTAATTTAGCTTCGTAGGTAAGTGCTCCATGACATGGAAAAATGAAGGTGGGAAGATCTTTTCTAAATTGTATAGGATCAAAACACTATTATGTTTTAAAATTTGAACACAAATATTTTGAAAAATTCTTGAACATAAATCCCTGAAAATGCTCCAATCCCTGCAACATCAATATATTCAAATTCCCACATCTCATATATATAAACATATTTATTTTACGTCTTGTATATATCAAAATTATAATTAGTAGTACTTGATAATGCAAAGTGAACGTTCAGATCTTGGTGTTCTGCAAATATAAATCTGTATAAAAACATGAAAATGATGACTCTTTGATAAGTCTGTACTTCATCACTTTTTGAGCGTGTATTCATCATCCTTTCAGCATCATTCACTTGTTGATTCGCATCATATTGACCCCTTTCTGCATGTTTTACATACTTAGGTAGGTTTTACGCATATCATGCATGTCTTGCATACATTCTGCATATTTGGAGTGTTTCAGGTACTTAGGAGACATGCAGAGCGAAGCAGAGGAACAAGCGTTACTCGACATGCACATGGTCGAGGAGGGGGGGGGGGCGATCGAGTGAGAAGCAACTTATTCACATCAACTTTTAAACAGCTTCTACGTTGTCGTTTTATGTTTTAAGGTTTTCCCAAACATTGTTATAAATAGGTCTCATTTGGATTGCCCAAGGGATCAAGTTATATTTTATTTAGGTTTTTGTTAAGTGATGAGGAATCTTAGTTTCTAGGGTTGATTAAGTATAGATTTAGGTAGATACCTTCTGGATTAGGAGATCTTAATGCTATCTTAGCATTAACCATGCATGATTAGATCTTAGACATTCCAACACTCAAAAAGTGTTCAAATGGAATGTTTGATCAACTAATGCCAGAGATCTATTTACTTACCCAAGAGATTGGTTGTTAAGGAGTAGATTGACATTAATGAGCTTATTCTTTATGCCTATTTATAGTATGTTTCATCAATGAAATTTGAGATTAGGAAGTGCTATAGATCTGATAATCTTTGCCAAGAGATTGCACTGATTAGGTTAAGTGGTTCATTGTCTAGGATTAGATCTATCTGAGCATGTTAAGCATCCCAAAGATACTAAGAGGATTCATCACCCGATTAGCCCATCCTTAAGACCCTTTGTTTATCTGATTGATTATTTGTTTTATTTACTGCTTTCAATTCTGCTTCTTTAGTTTACTTTTATGCTTTAGAGTTTATTAAACCAACCCATGAACTACTTGGCTTGACTTGATTAGATATGTTATATCTTGATTATTTGCAATTCATCCATCTGGATCGATACCTCTTATGCTACATCGCTAAGGGGAATTGAACTCCAAGGGTACAAAAATACCTGTTTCAGGTTAGAATATGTTAGAATACAATGAATTGATGATACAAGTGCTAGAGATGCATGAAGAGTGTTTAGAAGTGTAGAGAAAAACTTGTTGAAATTGGGTCCCAAATGGGCTAAGAACTCGGAAACATTGAGTTGAACCACTAAATGACTTATCTAGTGTTGTTTGGGGTTAGAATATATTAGAATACAATAAATTTGATTGATTACAAGTGCTAGAGATGCATGAAGAGTGGAGAAAGACTTGTTGAAATTTGGTCCCAAATGGGCTAAGAACTCGCAAACATTACGTTGAACCACTAAATGACTTATATAGTGTTGTTTGGGGTTAGAATATGTTAGAATACAATGAATATGACTGATTACAAGTGCTAGATATGCATGAAGAGTGTTTAGAAGTGTGTAGAAATATTTGCTGAAATTTGGTCCAAAATGGGCTAAGAACCCAAAACCATTGCTTTGAAGCATTAAATGGCTTGTCTAGTTTTGTTTGGGGTTAAAATATATTAGAATACAGTAAATTTGATTGATTACAAGAGCTAGTGATGCATGAAGAGTGTTTGGAAGTGTGTAGAAAGACTTAATGAAATTTTGTCCCAAATGGGCTAAGAATCCATAAACATGTCTTTGGAGCAGTAAATGGGTTGTCTAGTGTTGTTTGGCGTTAGAATACAATAAATTGGATTGATTACAAGTTTTAGATATGCATGAAAAATGTTTAGAAGTGTGAAGAAATACTTGTTGAAATTGGGTCCCAAATGGGTTAAGAACTCGGAAACATTGCGTTGAACCACTAAATGGTTTGTCTACTGTTGTTTGGGGTTATAAAATGTTAGAATACAATAATTTTGATTTAAGTGCTCGAGATTGTTGAAGAGTGTTTATAAGTGTAAAGAAAGACTTGTTGAAATTGGGTCCCAAATGGGCTAAGAACTCGGAAACATTGAGTTGAACCACTAAATGACTTATCTAGTGTTGTTTGGGGTTAGAATATGTTAGAATACAATAAATATGATTGATTACAAGTGCTAGAGATGCATGAAGAGTGTTTAGA